TCTCTATCTATCCCTGAGTCTCTCTTTCTCTCTTTCTTTCTCTCTCTCTCTCTCTCTCTCTCTCTCTCTCTTTATCTCTCTCTCTCTCTTCCTTTTTCTCTCTCCCATTCCATTTTCTCTCTCTCTCTCTGCCTTTCTCTCTCTCTCTCTCTCTCTCTCTCTCTCTCTCTCTCTCTCTCTCTCTATCTCTATCTCTATCTCTATCTCGCTGTCTGTCTCTATTTATCCCTAAGTCTTTCTTTCTCTCTCTTCCTTTCTCTTTCTCTCTCTCTCTTCCTTTCTCTCCCTCTCTCTCTTCCTTTCTCCCTCTCTCTCTATTCCTTTCTCTCTCTCTCTCTATTTCTTTTTTTCTCTCTCTCTCTCTCTCTCCCTCTCTATCTCTATCACGCTGTCTGCCTCTATCTATCCCTGAGTCTCTCTCTCTCTTTCTTTCTCTCTCTCTCTCTCTCTCTCTCTCTCTCTCTCTCTCTCTCTCTATCTCTATCTCTATCACGCTGTCTGCCTCTATCTATCCCTGAGTCTCGCTCTCCAGGTGTATGCCTAGAATGGGTGAGAGCATCCTATGTTCTACACGTACTTTTATTGACTGCCACAAAGTTTCCTGTGCTGCACTGACTACTGCGGGCAGGTGCCCTGTGAAGCAACACACTGGGGGGACGGAGACAGTCTATATAAACATATGAAACGATGAAAGAATACACTTGGGTACATATATATCCCGTACAGACTACGAATTTGATATGGTACTAAACTAGTTTACTATATTCTATATACTATATTTACTATATACTACTTTACTGGGATATGCCGTGATCTTTGAGCTTTGTCATGAGTTTGGTGTTTTCTGCCGTCAGTTGCGCCACCGTCGCCTGAAGGGATGCTTCTCGCTTCTCGGCCTGCTCCGATCACATCCAATCAGAGTGTGAGGTTTATAGAAGGCGGGTAAATAAAAACATGTACCACTAGTCAGCCTCAACTTTGCCAATTCGGTGCAGACATACACGTGTAATGACGATAGAAAATGTTCAATCACCTGCTTTTTTGAGTTATTATATTATAATCTAAAATGTGTTTATTTGTTTATTTATATTTATATATGTATTTATGTTATATTACATACATAGAGAGAGAGAGAGAGAGGGTGTGCGCGCGAGAAAGAGCGAGAGAGGGAGCAGGGAGAAGCAGCAATGCGTCAG